AGAAATAAAATGTTGCTTATGCAGAATGCAGTTATAAAACTCTAAAAGAAAAAAAAAACGCCCATAATCATTTGCAACTGAATTTGCTCAGTTGCGTTCGTAAGTATTGAACAAGCTCGGCCTATGAATGTTTGCGTAGTTGGAAATTGTCCTGAAAAAAAATATGTTATCCTAATCTGGTATTGTATCAAACATCTTCTCTCATCCATTTTCAGCACTGGGACGACATCCACTTCGTCAGTGGTGGTTTCGCAGCTGGATACACCGGAGCCTCCAACGTCGCCCGAACTCCGTCGATCAGGGGAAGACGCAGAGATCCGGCCGAAGTCGGGAAGCGACGCTCTGGCCGAATCTCAACAAACCGCAGGAGTGTCTCGGTGAGTCTGTCAGGCTGACTTTGTCTTTATGCGTTTGGAATTAAACCTTTCAGCGCTTGTTTAATCGGGTGTGTCGAGTTTTCATCGTTATTTCTACATTTATTTTAATCGAATGAACCACAGGCCTCTATAAACCTCAAGAGTTCTATGAATGAATCTGTATGAAAAGTTACGTAATTTTATATATTTGTTAGTAGATCGACAGTCTTCCTTCCCGCGGATCGCTGCGCCGAACCGTGCCACCCAATCCCAGCTTGTCCACCAGTTTGGTTGCCTGTTGCCAAAATGCTCCTCAGACAGGTGACCACTGGCACTGACATCTATTCCGATCGCGAGGATAGACTATACTGCGCCGCGGCAAGACTTCGACTGTGGTGACTAGGCGCAGTAGTCGGTCTCTGGTGCGGCGACCCACCAGTTACTAATGCCATTTCGGTTCGTTTTCTTCGCAGGATGGATACTATGGAAGTCCTGGATGCCATGGAAGTGATCCGGTTTGACGACAGCCAGCTGAGACCTGGACTCCTCGAAAAGCTTCGAAGCAAAAAGCCCGGCTCACCTCTGACCAGGACGGAGTGGAGCGAAGTGACGACAGTCATCGTGACGTTCGAGAAAGCTTGTAACAGGTATCATCCCCGTAGATAACGTGGTGTTGTTGTAGCGCGGGTTGAGGACATTGAAGTTAACATAAAATACTATTATCATGCATTTTTTGGTACATTTTTTATTCAGCCCTAGCCGTAACCCGCGCCGGGCCGGTACTCCATTTGTAACACAGCGGGCCGCGGAGCAGGGGGTTTACACCCCCCGTCTAACTCGACTCCTGAGCATCGTTGAGACAAGCGATAGGCGGCGTTCGAAAGAGCGTTAAAAACCAGTAGGAAAGTATTTTTGTCATGTTTTGGTCAGACCAAAAACTAGGTCACCAGAGGTCACCGAGGAAAAAATGTTCTTTTTTACTTTTGATAGTTTTTCTTCAATAACTTTTGATCCAGAAAAGATAGAGGCATAATTCGCACGCCATTGTTCTCAGCTCGTCAAGGCGCGTTGAATGATATATAATATGACCTCAAAAGGTCAAGTTGAAAAGTTGACCTTAGGGCAAGGTTCATCTCATTCGATGCGCATTGACGAGACAAACACAATAATCGTCGAACGGAGTTTATCTCAATTCAATCAAAAGTTATTGCACAAAAACCGCTTGTGACCTCAGGTGACCTCGGATGACCCAGTGACACCTTCCTGCCTTCCACCTTTATGTCGGTTTTACTGTCTCGTGTGGTGTGCTTTCATGTTTACATATTTCCTTTAAATGATGTCTTATGTCTATGCCTTGCCCTGAAAACTCCTGTTCTAGCGTCTCCAAGTCGTTAAGCTCTCCCATGCCCTTTCTTTTTCCAAGCGTCCTGAACCTTACTCATGCTCGGTACATGGAGCTGGCTGACCGCGCCCTTGTTCAATGGCCGGCGCTGCACTTTGGGTGCAGCCCGAAACAGGCACTGGTAAGCACTTATTGCGTTGCTGTTTGATTCCATCAACTAATAGAAAATGACATCGGTCCAGGTCCGGGACAGTTCGTGAACTTATCTAATCGAACTCAGCTGAATATACTGAACGGAGGCACTTAGTCACCATGTCCTGAATTGGAAAATAGGTAATTGAACTGAACCTCAAGTAAAGTCGATCTGAATGAACTGAACTGAAGCGTTTGCGAACTGCTCCGGCCCTGGATCTGGCCATACTTGTATGTATATTCAGGGCTGCGGAGTCGACCAAATTTTAGCGACTCCGACTCCGACTACGACTGCGTCTTGAAAAAATCGACTCCGACTCCAACTCCGACTCCGACCCGCCCTACTTTGACATACCTGCATGACCAATGTTTCTAAATATGGGCGGCTTCTTCGCACTGGTTTAAATGCGGAGTCGAAGTACCATTTAGTTCAGTCTCCGTGTGAACCATGCATTGCCTCTATATACCAGCTGCAGTGGATGTTGAACGCCCTTAACGTTACATCTACCCTTGGGTTGTAATTTATGCACTGCTTTTCCTGTCTCAGTCGCAGGTCAAAGCAAAAATACAATGGCGCGTAAGGAATGAGAAGCGACGAGACGACGGAAGTGATGCCGAACTCCAAGCGTCATCAAAGAGGTTGTCACGCGGAAAAACATTCAAGGGATCGCGATATGAAGGATTCGAAGGCTACAAGGGTAAGCATTGGGCATTGTGAAATGCAAGACAGCGATGTAGTATGATGTAGTACATGTGACTGATAAGCGACTAGTGGTGAATATTTTGCCCATCTGCAAGCTTTGCATTGCATATATTAAAGGTAGTGTGCCACTTTGCATTGGCCATATGAAGTTATTGGCATGGGCGAAGAGAGCGGTCTCTCTCTCTCTCTCTCTCTCTCTCTCTCTCTCTCTCTCTCTCTCTCTCTCTCTCTCTCTCTCTCTCTCTCTCTCTCTCTCTCTCTCTCCCCTCCTCCCCCTCCTCCTCCCCCGCTGGCTCTAACATTTCGTATGAACATTTCGACAGAGTACCTTCCGCCTATGCCGGAGGAAGACGTTCAGCATCTGAGAAACCGCCTCTTGAAGCATCTACACGAGGCTAACCTGACGAGCGAAGGCAAAGCTGAGCGAGAGGCCCTGATCAACTCGACGTTCGCAGACAGGCGCAGGCATGTGGTGACGCTCCGCACCAGCATGCGCAAGCTTTTGGAGCTGTATCCAATCTTGCGGAACCCAGACGAAGTAAGTACTAAGTATGCCTTGGAAGTTGTAAAATTGTCATTATATTCCTACTCTCTAATTCCATAAAATGTCCCCTGTGTGTTGCATCGTTTCGGCTTTTATTCGTCGCCCACCATAGCTTTCTGACGTTTTCTCATCCATGGAGGATTCTATAATATGACTTAACTGTCCTCTAATTATATTGTTGATACCGGTTGTTCCAGATCTGGCGTGAGCTGGCCAAACTGGAGGGGGAGACGGAGTCGTCTAAGCTTGGTGACTACAGGCGCCGCCTGAGCGACTTTCTCACCGCCATCCAACTGATCACAGAATGTCAAGGTAAATACGGTAAACCATTCACGTCAACTATTGCCCCCCCCCCCCCCCCATTACGACCATGCAAGATTGCTGCCGAACTACTAACCTATGGGCGACGTGAGACACGTCTCTGCTCATTACTTTCAAATCTAGTACCTAGCAGATGAATGAAAATTAAATTCAAAATACTACTCTGACTTGTGTCGTGTGCTTTGTCTGTGCATTGTTTATCCTTGTTTTCAAAACGCTCTTAACTAGTTAGGTTTAAGCGTGCAAATTACTCTGTGACGCCTGTTTCTCTCGCTCGCTCTTTCATCGCCCATGAGGTGGCTCACGGCTGTTTATTTGATCGAATTAACAGTGATATGGTCAAAAGCAGCCAGCTAGTTCAGTATGCGTTTCATAAACGTGACACCTCTTGGGCTCGTTCGTTCATCGCCGAACAGGTGTTATACTGACATTTGTGCTGTTATACTTCAGCGACCTTTATTGGATTGGCGAATCACTTGATCCTTGACCTGACGACCAGACCAGTTTTCACATGACCAGGTGAAAACTGACCCTCCCCCCCCCCAAAAAAAAATAGATATCAAAATTTGTGTTGTTAGCGGCATGGTCTCGAAATTCGAGGCCTTGGTGGCATTTTATACGATATCCGTGAGATCGGAAGACCTCAAGCAGCTAGCAAGTAGCAGTGTTATACTGTTAAAGGTAAATATCAGTCTGAAAATTTACCTCTATTTCAGACACCGACTGCGTGGAGTCTCTCCTCTACTACCTAGACGCGAACCCCGAGGACATCTTTGAGGGATCAGGAAGCGCGCCGCACTACCAGGTCAACGACGACGGGTCCATCGGCCTTTTCGTCGAGGGGGTCTGCTTGACAAGGTCGGTGGACCGGAGCAGCAAGGCTGATCTCCTGCTTCTGTGGGCAGCGATTTTCCCAGTGTTCAACCAGAAGTGCCCCGTGTCTAAGGCTAAGAACGCTCTGATATTTATCACGGTGAACATCTTTGAAAAGGGGGGCAACCAAACTCTTTCCAACCGTGTCCTGGGACGAGTCCAGCGTCTCAAGCAGCTCTGTGCGTAGCTCTGTGAGTAGCTTAGAACGGAACCTGAGAACGGAACGCCTTTGCCGCTCGGCTGTTAACACTTTCAAACCGTGTGACACGTCCAGCGTCTCGAGCAGCTCTGTGAGTAGCTGAGCACAGAACTTGATAACGGAATGTCTTTTCCGCTCGGCAGTTAACCCTTCGAACCGCGCCCTGGGACATGTCCAGAGTCTCAAGCATCTCTGTGCGTAGCTCTGTGCCTATAGCTTAGAACGTAACTTTAGAACGGAGCGCCTTTGCCGCTCGGCAGTTTCCTACAGAAGATTACTTTTTTAGGTTCATTTTTAGTACAATAAGAGAAATATTACTGTATGCAGTTGTAAGCTTGCTGAAAGGAGCTTGAATGCAGTTTTGAATAAACATGTTTGATGAGTTTAATTCGATTCGTTTTTTTGGGGGGGGGGGGCGGCTGTGAAAAGAGGTGACTAACACGCACATTAGTTAAGTTACACGCCTGTTCTCAAAAATGCATTTAGTTTATTAACACGCACAGCTTAGTTAGCTAACACGCAATATGTGTGTTTTGCGTACACGCATATAGCTAGTGAAAAGTGGCCGTGTGACAAACACATGTGTTACCTAACACGTCTGTAGTTATTAACAAAACACACCGATGATAGTCAATAAACACGCTTACACGGCTTATCTTAGTAACCTGGCAAATATTCGAAAACTAGGAGGTGTGTTTCAAAACACGCTATTCAACCTTTTGCGTGTAATTGAAAACACACTTAGTCATGAAATGCGTGTTTTGCTTACACGCCTATGGTTAGTGAAAAGTGGCCGGATAACTAACTAGTTGGTAAACTTTTTTTACAGTGATGTAGCAGTGGAGACTGCAATTGGTAGCGGTAAAGATTGTCACATGTAGATGCAGCAATGACACGGGACTGGCACATGTTACACGTAGCATGTAGCACAATCCAAGAAGAGCAGCAGTTGCCATTAGCTATGCCATGAAGGGCCACAGAACTATGTAGCACCACTGGCGCATATATAGTCGCACTGTGATATTGTACTGTCCATTGTACCTACTGAAACTAGCAAATGGAGGAAGATGTAGACATGACACTGCAGCTGGTTAAGAACAGTATTCCTGAGCCATTAAAGGGTTGGACATTTTACCAGTAGGAGCTGGTCTACCAACGTATAAAAAAAAAAAACTGAGAGAAATAGGAAAGAAAAACGACAAACTCGCATTAGAAGGAGACTTCGCTGACCATCAAACAAACAAAATAGCCAAACAGACACGGATATCGGTATCAGTTGAGCAGGATCCGCCTCAGTCGCCTGTTCGGAGCATCCGTTCACCTCTGGTTAGGCGAGCTGCCACGCGCTGATACCCATCTGCATAACTAGCCTTCGATCCGGCCGTATCGGGATTACGAGCAGCCGTCGTTCCCCCGTTATTATTACCAGCCAGCCGGGCAAACAGGGGCAGACCGCGCAGACGGTCCCAGGGTGGTCGTGAACAGTTCCTCGACCCGAGTGGACCCTGCTGGAGAGGCATAAACACCAAGTGAGGCCTGGTAAGGAGTGGTAGAGGGTCGGCGTCACCCCAGGGAAGGTGGGAAAACAGAGGTTAGATCCGTTTGTCACGCATTCTTACGGATACTGGTCAACACGGTTGTTACTAACCTAGCCAGACGCTTGCAAGAAGCAATGGAAGACGGATTCCAGCGGTTATCAAATTTACCCAAAGTATTCTTCATGCCCATCTTTGTATTCGATGAGCTCCCTATATGCCATGAGGGAGGGACTCGATATCATGTCCATTGTCCATGTTCCACTGTTTTACTGAACAAAAAACGAGTACCTACAGACCAATTTCGCAGCGGACAAAGATAAACTCATCGGCAAGGACACTCTGAAATTATAATGAGCTGCCCAGAGAACAGTATGTAGCTTTTGATGTCGGCACTAATAATTTGTCACACAGAAGCTATAACCGTCAAGCGTGAATCCCGTGCGTACGTACATCTTAGCCAATCCGTCCGTAAATATCAAAGTCGTTCACGTATATCAAACGTGGTTCGAAAATGTGTTCACTCAGTCGCCAGCTCCGGAGCGGCTCGGTCTCAGCCCCGGCCGCCGGGCTGGCCACTCGGACCCGCCACCGCCCGAGCTCGGATCGATTCTACAGAATCCAACCGCTCGGAATCATTTCATTCGACAGAGCCCGAGTCCGGACTGCGCCAGTCCGAGCTGCGCCAGTTCCGCCGCCATGACATTTGTCGACGAGAACGGCGCAGCTGCAGCCTCCAGGGCCTGTGGCGTGAGGTTTCAGCTGGGATGGCTTCACTTTGTTTCGTTTACACACTGGGAAAGCCAACCTGCACTGGTGGCATGTCTGCCCAAGTGGCACTAATTCCGGGTGGAGCTTTTACCATCGACTCGTCACTAATCAGTGATGGGGAATTGAAAGCCGCGCGTGTAGTGCGTCCTGAACGGAAGGTGATATATTTCTCATATCTGATGGCAGAATCATAGCCGATTCATTGTAGCGTCGACGTAGATGCTTGTAGCGTTTGATGATTATTTGATTATTGGACGTGCGATGCTATCAGAATCACCATCAATTGCGAGCCATCCCCTGGAAATGGCACGTCTCTCAGACCATTTTGTAATAACATGCAATTCAAGTTGTAAATCAGAAGTGCGACATTTATCCTGCAGCAAAATGAAGATAAATGGCAAAACGCCGGGCTTAAATGCCGGTTATAAAGCGAGTCCGGATATTTATTGATCGAACGAGATATCGTGTAAATGCACGACATGATTGGAAAATTGCAAGAAGTATGTGCCATGCAGGATGCTCTTTGGCACATTTGATGCCAAGCAACATCAGGCAATCAAAGAGTATTTATGTTGTGAGCTAAAAATACCAGCTATTATGAATTGGCGACACCAAACAACACCCACTAACAGTTGTCTTTTAGTAAATAACGCACATTTGATAGCCTTTTTTAAATGGATATCTTTGTACTGAAAGGTTCGTTGTTTTATCGACAAGTATGGATTATTATAAAGACACAGGCACAGGCACATTTAGTACCTAAATCTGTAAAACTTACTGCAATGTAACAAACTGTATGCCTATTGTCTAGCCGCGGTTGATTTTCTACTTCGGTACCTGAAAAACTTCAGTTATCCTAATGATGCAGTTTGCTGCAAAGATAAAAAAGTTCAACCCAAAACGTCCCAGGCTGGTAGCACCCTTATCCATTTCACTAACACCCCCGATAGTGATGGACATGGCAATGGTTCGCGTTTGACTTGGCGGCACTGAGTGCCCCTCGCCGGTCTCCTCAGTCAATACTGATGGGCAATTAGGCCAATGTTTACGACCAATAGAGGCAAAGTTGCAGTCGTTGCATCGGCGCTGCGCCGACATAACTCGCAGCTCAAATATCACGGGGTTAACGACGGCCGCGGCCACTGCAAGGGTTAGCGGCGGCGGCAGCGGCCTGCGGCGCATACTGGCCACGGGCTTAGGGTTTCACAGCGGACAACGACTCGGGGTTTCACAGAGGACACATGGACACAAGCGACGGATCACTGCCAGAGACAGAGTGCATCGCCCACATACACCGCACATGTCATCCACAAAATGCAGGACTTTTAGCCACAAACGTGGTATGAGGCTCGACGGGGACGACTTTAATATCAATATAGCTATAAATTATAGTACACACCGCACTGCATAAACAAATTATAGTTTAATTCATGCGATGAGCTGCGTTTATAAATGACACCCATCTTGTGATGCCTAGATCAGCAGGCTTGAATGAAACCTCTAGAAAAACATGTAATTACGAAATGATTGTTAAGTACCGCCAGACTTAAAACATGGCATTGTAGCACACAACGCAAGCCCAGTTCTGAGCCCAGATTGGATCGCGGCTCTCAAGGCATCCATAGGCAACACATCGCATATAAAAAGCAATTATATTGAAAGTAGCTTACAGGACTATGGAGTCGCATAGCCTAACATTTTGCCCATAACTTATCATGAGCAGCATCATGCAATACCGCGGGCCCGGAAAGCACTCAGCGTTATGCCGAGGGTCAGGGGAAATGTCACTCTGAGCTCCGGCATCTATAGGACCGATGAGGCCGTCAGTTCGGACGATATGCCGACCCATGTTGAGCTAGAAAGTATTTGAATGGTTCAGCAGTGTATCACACAAACGGAATACCTATCTGGGGGTAGGTAGGCACCCGCCAACTATTCAGCAGAAAGAAATTAGAATAGGTAAACGTCAACAAACAACAAAAAGTATCCCATTAGTAGAAAGGCAAATAGGGCAAGTAGAAAATCAATGTGCAAGGAGCAATGCCGAGTGCATGGCAAAACTAAATACAATTCGAAATTTTTCATCACAAAATTTCGAAAACCGGCTAGGTTTTTGCACAATATCCGTACGAGTGTGGCTAGTTGCGGGTCCCGCTACTACTGTTTCGCCTTTCAGCCACCAGGTGGCCAGCACCAGCCCGATATGAGAGAAGACTGGTCCTTATTCCTAGCATCCACTGCCGCTAGGTGGCAGGGCTGTCCCCAGCCGGCTGCAGCCTGAAGCTGGATCGCGCCTTCACAAAAAGTCCATCGAGGCTGTCCACTTGAATTGATCAAGTGAACTGGTCAGGCGATCGTACGACGTCTAGCATCTCCCCAGCAGCCGTCGTTAGCTGATGTGAGGTGGGGGTGGGACAGGGTGAGGGGTGGGTGTAGCGGGCTCCAGAAAAGTTGCCATGACGGTAACTGGCCAATGGTCAGGGTCAGGAAATTCATTCGATAACCCAAAATATTTCTAATGAAAAATAGGTACAGCATCAACTGAATTGAAGGCAATAGCAACTGCTTCACATCACAACTCAACTGATGAACGGTTAGGTAGGTATGCCTTATCGTAGAAATTCAGCGGCACACAATAAAAAGGGACGGAAAAGGAACCAAATGCATTGACACCGCTACATTTTCCCTTTACTGTTGCACGGATCCCCCGCATTATGTAAACAATATTCGAAACTTGGTCGCTCCCGTCGCTAAATCCCCACTCGGATCGCCATCCATGCGAGCCGTTTCAAAACAAATTAACAGACGGAAACACGCCCCAGTAGATCACCACAAGGGGCAGTGGTGTTTGCCAAGTCGACTGAAATTGGGGACAGTGAGAAGCAACTCAGCAGAAACTGTCCGGGTACGGGAGTAACAGATCACAAAGTGACGTTCTGCAGAACAGGTTTGCATTCCTAAGTGAAGTGACAATAACTTGCCAGCAATTTGCATAACCCTCGCATGTGTGCGGCGTTTTCCAGCTTCTAATGTGTAGGGGGGGGGGGGTCGGTTGGACCCCCCCCTTGCCGTTTGGCCCCTGATCGAGCTAGAGCTTCGCGGAAAAAACGAGCGTGTTGCCCGTGACGAGAGGAAGCCGATGCTACCCAATTTTAAGGTCCTAGGTCATTGGTTGACCTTCCAGGTCAGGTCAATGACCCAAAGTCGGGAAAATCGGGACCTGTTAGAAAGTCGTAAAGTGTGGCTGCTAAGGGGTTTTTCGGGGTGCTGATCACGAATATCGTGTTAGTTTTGATCACAGATGATGTCTTGAAGCATTTAGACCAGGTCGGGTCAGGTCAGGTCAGGTCAACCAGTAGGCGTCGTGACGGGTATTCGTAGTACGTGTCAACCGCCTCTGACAGCTTCGTAACATGTTACGAAGTCACCAAAACTACTTCGTAAATGTTCAAATGGTTGCTAAATTCGAATTCAGCTCCAAAAACTAGCCTAGAAACATGTAAAACTCGAAAAAGTGACCCGAGGTCACCCGAGGTCACCAAAGGTCAATGACCTGACCTGACCTTCAGGTGACCTTGACACACACGGGAGTAACATCAAATCACATGTTTGAACGTTTGAAACCACGAAAAGCTTGCAAACACGCGGCTAGTGCGAGCCGACATACGCGAAATCGCGATTCCGGCCAAACATGGTCTCGGAAAAGAGGTCACAGGTCAAAGGCCATTTGGGTCAGGGTCATGAAATTTTCAGGGTAGGTGTAAAATTGATCAATGCGAGGGTACTGAAAGTTTCGTCGCGATCGGCCGCTTTTTACGCGAGTTATTCGCGAAAAACCATGGGGGGGTCCATCCGACCCCCCCCCCCCTACACATGCGAGGGATAATTTATTAAGTGCTAAGCATGATTACTATAAAAACAGCATAAAATCCCATCAATTCCGCTATCTCACACCTGAGTCCTACAACAGGTACAGGGACCCGCAGTTGCTTCTGTACACACTAGTATTTCAGCGTATTCTTTGCCTGTGACACCGTTGGAGGCGAATTGGGAAATGATTGTGTGCTTATTAAAACCACCATCTGAAGGGCTTTAAACTGATGTGCTGCTCTCCTAATTCAGTGAACTTTTTATGGCTATATCAGCAAAACATTGTTTTCAGCGCTTTTTCCTGCCCCATTCCTTCTGAAACCTGGAACCGC